AATTTTAATGTCAAATAAAGAGTTAAAAAGGTAAAATAAATAAAGAAAGAAAATTAAGAATTTACATACATATATGTAATTTTAATGTAAAATAAAGAGGTAAAAAGGTAAAATAAATAAATAAAAAAAATTAAGAATTTACATACATATATGTAATTTTAATGTCAAATAAAGAGGTAAAAAGGTAAAATAGATAAATAAAAAAAATTAAGAATTTACATACATATATGTAATTTTAATGTAAAATAAAGAGGTAAAAAGATAAAAAAAATAAATAAGAATTTACATACATATATGTAATTTTAATGTAAAATAAAGAGGTGAAAAGGTAAAATTAATAAATAAATAAAATAAGAATTTACATACATATATGTGATTTTAATGTAAAATAAAGAGGTAAAAAGGTCAAATGAATAAATAAAAAAATTAAGAATTTACGTACATATATGTAATTTTAATGTCAAATAAAGAGGTAAAAAATTTAAAAATTAAAAAAATTAAGAATTTACATACATATATGTAATTTTAATGTCAAATAAAGAGGTAAAAAGGTAAAATAAATAAATAAAGAAAATTAAGAATTTACATACATATATGTCATTTTAATGTAAAATAAAGAGGTAAAAAGATAAAATAAATAAAATAAGAATTTACATACATATATGTAATTTTAATGTCAAATAAAGAAGTAAAAAAGTTTAAAAAAAATAAAATAAAAAAAGAGTTAAAAAGGTGCTCTACCTCAACTTAAGGTTAAAATGTTGGGTCTTTTAGCTTTAGACTGACCTGTGTGGCCTCCAGTAGGTAGTGGTGCACCACCAGAACGTCCTCGGTGGAAAGACTGGAGCAGGTTTTGCTCTTTTCTGTTACGGTGAACGTCCCGTAGTTTACCGGTTCTCTGTGGGGCCAAAGGACGCCTGACTCCCCCCCCTCCGTCTGCCAGAGTCACACAGAAGATAGAAAAATTTATATTTATTACTTTTATCCCTACTGAGTAAAATCTCAAAAATACAATGTGAAGATATTGTAACTCTTAAAAAATAAAGTATGCAGTTCTAAAGTAGTTTTTTTTGTTGGTTTAAACTGAAAATGTCATAAATGTATGTATGTATGTATGTATGTATGTATGTATGTATGTATGTATG